TTTTTACCATTTATCTCCTGCGTCGAAGGTGGGACTGTCAGCGAGGACAGATGTAGTGTCAGGATGCTGACGTCGTCGGAAGTAAATTCTGCGTATCCACTTGTGGAAAATTGCATTTAGCTGAATGTATCATTATATACATAACAGTAAATGAACACAGATAATTATTATTTATCAGTTAGACAAGTAGGAATTTGGGACACCTAGGTCGCAAAAAATGTCCTCCTTGGATACCTACCACTGTCATATCCACAAGTTGCTCTGGACTTATTAATCATAAATGAAATATACGTCACCAGGAATGCTGATAAATATATAAATTTGTGGACTGTATATTAAATTAAAAAATTATTATATATAAGGCACCTAAAATGGAGGAATATAGCAAATAATATTGTTGCAGTAATAACACCAGGAGGCAGCTCTGATGAAAACTCACACTCACGCGAGCTTTTAAATCTCTGCACAAAATTCAATTTAAACCAGCAAATAATAGAGCCTACTAGACTGGAGAATACACTAGACCTCATCTTCACTAACAATGATGATCTGATAAGAAATATCACCATATCAAAAACAATATACTCAGATCACAACATAATTGAGGTTCAGTCATGTATGCGCGGAGCCCCAGACCGACATAAGGAGATTAGTCCACGAGGGAGCATTCACCAAATTCAACTTCAATAACAAAAACATAAAGTGGGACCAAGTAAACCAAGTCCTAACCGATATAAGCTGGGAAGATATACTAAGCAACACAGACCCCAACTTATGCCTAGAACAGATTAACTCGGTAGCACTCGATGTATGCACAAGGCTTATTCCTCTAAGAAAAAGGAGGAGTAGATGTAAAACAGAAAGAGACAGGCGCTCCCTTTACAGGCGACGGAAAAGAATAACAGAGCGGCTAAAAGAGGTCAATATATCTGAAATGCGTAGGGAGACACTGGTCAGAGAAATAGCAAGCATCGAACTTAAGCTAAAAGAATCCTTTAGGAGTCAGGAATCGCGGGAAGAACTAAAAGCCATAAATGAAATCGAAAGAAACCCAAAGTATTTCTTCTCCTATGCCAAATCAAAATCGAGAACAACGTCCAGTATTGGGCCCCTACTTAAACAAGATGGGTCCTACACAGATGACAACAAGGAAATGAGTGAGCTACTCAAGTCCCAATATGACTCAGTTTTTAGCAAGCCGCTAACCAGACTGAGAGTCGAAGATCAAAATGAATTTTTTTATGAGAGAGCCACAAAATTTGATTAACACAAGCCTATCCGATGTTATCCTGACGCCAAATGACTTCGAACAGGCGATAAATGACATGCCATGCACTCTGCCCCAGGGCCAGACTCATGGAACTCTGTGTTCATCAAGAACTGCAAGAAGCCCCTATCACGAGCCTTTTCCATCCTATGGAGAGGGAGCATGGACACGGGGGTCGTCCCACAGTTACTAAAAACAACAGACATAGCCCCACTCCACAAAGGGGGCAGTAAAGCAACAGCAAAGAACTACAGACCAATAGCACTAACATCCCATATCATAAAAATCTTTGAAAGGGTCCTAAGAAGCAAGATCACCACGCATCTAGAAACCCATCAGTTACACAACCCAGGGCAACATGGGTTTAGAACAGGTCGCTCCTGTCTGTCTCAACTATTGGACCACTACGACAAGGTCCTAAATGCACTAGAAGACAAAAAGAATGCAGATGTAATATATACAGACTTTGCAAAAGCCTTCGACAAGTGTGACCATGGCGTAATAGCGCACAAAATGCATGCTAAAGGAATAACAGGAAAAGTCGGTCGATGGATCTATAATTTCCTCACTAACAGAACACAGAGAGTAGTCGTCAACAGAGTAAAGTCCGAGGCAGCTACGGTGAAAAGCTCTGTTCCACAAGGCACAGTACTCGCTCCCATCTTGTTCCTCATCCTTATATCCGACATAGACAAGGATGTCAGCCACAGCACCGTGTCTTCCTTTGCAGATGACACCCGAATCTGCATGACAGTGTCTTCCATTGCAGACACTGCAAAGCTCCAGGCAGACATCAACCAAATCTTTCAGTGGGCTGCAGAAAACAATATGAAGTTCAACGATGAGAAATTTCAATTACTCAGATATGGTAAACATGAGGAAATTAAATCTTCATCAAAGTACAAAACAAATTCTGGCCACAAAATAGAGCGAAACACCAACGTCAAAGACCTGGGAGTGATCATGTCGGAGGATCTCACCTTCAAGGACCATAACATTGTATCAATCGCATCTGCTAGAAAAATGACAGGATGGATAATGAGAACCTTCAAAACTAGGGAGGCCAAGCCCATGATGACACTCTTCAGGTCACTTGTTCTATCTAGGCTGGAATATTGCTGCACACTAACAGCACCTTTCAAGGCAGGTGAAATTGCCGAACTAGAAAATGTACAGAGAACTTTCACGGCGCGCATAACGGAGATAAAACACCTCAATTATTGGGAGCGCTTGAGGTTCCTAAACCTGTATTCCCTGGAACGCAGGAGGGAGAGATACATGATTATGTACACCTGGAAAATCCTAGAGGGACTAGTACCGAACTTGCACACGAAAATCACCCACTACGAAAGCAAAAGACTTGGCAGACGATGCACCATCCCCCCAATGAAAAGCAGGGGTGTCACTAGCACGTTAAGAGACCATACAATAAGTGTCAGGGGCCCGAGACTGTTCAACTGCCTCCCAGCACACATAAGGGGGATTACCAACAGACCCCTGGCAGTCTTCAAGCTGGCACTGGACAAGCACCTAAAGTCAGTTCCGGATCAGCCGGGCTGTGGCTCGTATGTTGGTTTGCGTGCAGCCAGCAGCAACAGCCTGGTTGATCAGGCTCTGATCCACCAGGAGGCCTGGTCTCAGACCGGGCCGCGGGGGCGTTGACCCCCGGAACTCTCTCCAGGTAAACTCCAGGTAACAGAAGGAGAATATATCTTAATCATAACACTCACCAATTTAACTGGAAATCAAGGTGTATCATACTCAGAAAACCTCTGTCTATACATGAAAATAACTGGCCAGAGTTATAACATAACAGACTTATCTGAGGTTCCTGGAGCTGTCTTGTCCAGTCGCCTGATATCTCAAGTTATGCAGGAATGCACATCCAACAATTTCGTCTCCTATTTGAGAGGTGTCAGCCCAATTTTAACCTCTAGAGCACAAAAATTCCTTCCCATTACACTAACGTTGTATCCAATTCAAATTAACAATGGTGACTGTCCTTCTGTGCAGACGCAGGCTTTCCGTTTTCTATGACATAAATATTATTAAATACAGTATGGCCATCTATTTATCTATAAATTACCGTATTTCCTGAAAATATATACAGTATTTTCCACACCACTCTACTTAAAAACGAAGAATGAGACTTTTGCAACATTTGGGAATCTTTATTGAGGAAACATTTCGACTCTAGGCTGAGGGACTGATTACCTCATTTTCAAACTCTTTCACTATTCTTCTATGTATTGGACTGAAAAAGCCACTGGCTGGCGAAACTTTTCATCAATAAAGATTCCCAAATGTTGTACAAGCGTCTCATTCTTCAAGTTGTCAGGTTTGTAAATTATTACATCACATAAATAAGGAGTACTGCATCAGGCTTACTGGCCCATGCTAGGCAGGTCCAAGTCACACACACTCATCAGGAAGGAAGAAGTTCCTCCAACTACCGCCTACAGAGTGAATATGAAAATGGTATACAGTAACGACAGGTTGATAAGACATATGTCCAATGGTTAGGTATCTTTATTCTGAAACGTTTCGCTTACACAGTAGGAATCTTCAATCAAATTACCCATGGATGGTCATCCTGGTGTCTTTCTGGGTCCCTGGTAATCCTGGTGTCTTACTGGGTCCCTGGTCATCCTAGTGTCTGGGTCCCTAATCATCCTGGTGTTTTACTGGATCCCTGGTCATCCAGGTGTCTTACTGGTTGTCTGATCATCCTGGTGTCTTACTGGGTCTGTGGTCATCCAGGGCAATGAACTTGCAGATTCTTCTGGACATTCCACAGTCCAGGACCTCTCCATCTCTTGCAGGGATAAACCCTGTTCAAACTATTTTCCAGTTTTGCTTAAGAACATTCAGTATTGATGGCAATGTTGCTGATCCAGGTTAGAGGAAAAGCTATTAATTAAATCACAGTTGAGTTCTTGATTGACTTCTTTTAACTGCAGTCACGTTTAGGAAATCCTTCTCCCACAAGTGACATGGAGTGGCACTCAGCACACCTCTGCAACTTATCAGGATTCATTTATAGTCAAACACCTTTTGCTTTATACCATTTATCAGTGTGGTGTCAACTGAGTTCGTTATTTTGAGTTCTTTGAGAAAAGCTAGGCTCGAGTTCCCATAGGCTCACAGGAAGATACCTTCCCCTTTCATTAATAATGAATTATGAATATGGCAGCTTAAGATACCCCACACTAAGAGGTACATGACTTTCCATGTGGGAATGTAGCCAGTAACATGTCCAGTGTACAGTACTCTCCAGTTGTATGTGGAGTGTAGCCTCCAGTTCTTCGATCACCACCAGGGACCTGGTTAATATGTTTGCCACCACCAGCAGATTTCAGTGTAGGAGACTACATCATACACTGTGGGGGCTGCGATAATTTACATGAGAAAGACGAGAAACCTGGAACAACATGGATAATATAAACAATGAATTTCACATGACAATCTGATGAAGTGGGAAAAAGGCCAGACTCAAAATCAAGGAGACAGATCCATAGAAGAGACACTGCTCTGAATGAGCTTAGCTTGGCTGGAATTTACAGCTTGAATACTCTAATCCTCAAATATGCATGTGCACCTTGAGAGTTTGAAAGCTACTAGAGCATTTACTGCAAAATCCTACTACAGAATGAGGAAATTAAGTATTGCTTTCAGGGATGTATCAAGGTTTTTTGTTAGGTGGAAGTTAAGTTTTTTGGTTTATGTCTTGCAGACTGCAGCAGAGGTAGCCCAGCAGGCAGTGGATGCTGACGTGCATGTGGTGGGAGCTTCATCCCTTGCTGCAGGTAAGTGTTGCTCTTATATTCATGGGGGGAGCACTAAACCTTTAAGGCCTTGCAAAGCCTAGGGCATGGGAGGTAATCATGTTCGTTTATTACTGTATATATAAACAATTAAGGATGAGAGGGCATTATTATTATTTTTACTAATTATGACTATTTGCCTCTTCCCCTTGCATAGATGAACATTATATGAGTCATTTATGCAAGGGGTAAAGTAAAACAGCAGATTCTTGGAGAGATTTAAACTGAAGGAAGTCTAGAGACAGGTGTGGCCCATGGAAAACCTGGGCAGAGTTATATTCTAATGTGGGAATTTTTTAATTACCAATAGACCTCTAGCTGTCTTCAAGGGGAGCTGGACAGACACCTAAGTCAGTACCTGACCAGCACCTGGCAGTAACAGGGGTCAAAGCTCCAGTGGCCTGGTCAATGACCAGGCCACTGGAGCTTTGACCCCTGGAACACCCTCTAGGTATACTCCAGGTATCAGTAGCCTTCTGTAGAGTATCCATGTGACTAAGAGATCTGCAACTGTTATGTACCCTCTCTGCCATGGGAAGAATGGCACAATGGCTCTTTCCCTACCATACTATAGTGTAATGTGCTAGGTCACCTGCCAAGCAGGTGGCCTTAGCAATATGAGAAAATGAGATCTGTTTGTTTTATCAGCTGAATCCACTAATTCTGCATCAGCAATGTATAACTCTTGTGGTTTGGCACTTCTTTGTGGTTATAATAATAACTGAAGCTGCATCAGATGAATACTTACCTTCTAAGTGTTGCACTTTTCATATTTCAGGAACAGTGATATTACACATATTAATATAGTATAGAAGGAAATAGTTAACTATTTCCTCTATTCTCCCACTCACCTTGAGGTCAGCTAGGGGAACTTACCCATGTACTAATACAAAGACCTCAATGCTAAGAGGGAGATGTACATTAAATTAAAATTAAATTTTTTATTTGAATGGTAGGTATGCAATATGTGATTTACATGTTATAAAATATTATTAAGTACAAAGAAAGCTGCTAATATGCCTGAGGAACAAGTGGTAAATAGTGCCCATACACTGATGCTAGGCAGCAGCTAGCAGAATGCATTGCCCCACTAGACAGTGAAGAGCAGTGCAAGACCAGCTGATTGATTCCCTTGCCAAAGAAGTGTGTTGCCCACCTGAGGGTTGCAGCTTCACTTCTAGGCAAGTGGAATTATTATTAAATGTTAAACCCATAAGGGTCATACAGCACTGTAGGTAAGTGGAAACAAGTTTATGGTTACTGGGCATAGCAGACCCACAGGGCAGTGTTTAGTTAGCCTCTACACATCATGGTCATTGTTAAAGAGTTGAAGCCCACTCAGTGTGGTTATGACAGTGATGACCATAATCTCCAAACTGGGTACATAAAGGACCTGCCATCAGGGAGGTTTTACTAGGAAGTTACCGGTGGTGAAAGGATATATAAAAGATATCAACAGTGTAGATTTCACTTTGAATTAAATTGATTATTATATTGCATTAAAAACTACCATTATCCTGTATGTGGAGGTTTACCATTTTTTTGTTCAATTATCATGATAGCCATAAATGAGATGAGGGGTGAGAGGGGATTGTATTTCATTTAGTGTAATCTGACTAAAATAATGAATGAGATGGTTCTCTTCACAGGTCATCGTACTTTGGTGCCTGAGTTGGTGCAAGCCTTGACTGACCTCGGGAGACCTGATATACTGGTCATTGCTGGAGGCGTCATTCCTCCACAGGATTATGACTTTCTACGCAAGGCTGGTGTAGCTGCCATCTTTGGTCCAGGTGTGTCTTTGAAACTTTTTTTTTTCTACTGGAACTCCTTAAACTGCCAATATTCTATTACACCAAGTTCATTTTGTAAAATTTATCATATATCCACTCTTTACTACATTTTAATATTAAGTGAAAATTGAGAATTTAAGATTTAAATTTGTATTACAATGTTTAGTTTTATACTAGTGCCAGTGAAAGGCTCTAAGATATTCGAGCTATTTTACTTTACCTTGGATCAAACTTTATTATTTGTCATTCCCCAGGCACTGTATGGCCCTTGTGGCTCTCACACTTCCCAGTGATGAATTAGACACTTCCACAACACTTGGGTATCTTTATTGTTGAAATGTTTTGCCAGCCAGTGGCTTCCTCAGTCTAGTACAAAGAATGGTTAAAGATCAGAAGATAATCAGTCCCTCAGATTCATTCTGATATTGAAGTAAATTAATGTCATTACACAGGCAGAGGAGATGAGGAAGCCACTGGTTGGCAATACATTTCCACAAGTGTTGTACAAGTGTCTAATTCATTAACCTGTTGGTTCTTTAAAGTTATTTACACTTCTCAGTGAATGTAATAATAACTATTGCCAAATTTCTTGCCTTTAAGTACCCATTATGGCTTCCACAGGAACACGCATCCCTGTCGCGGCCCTCGATGTGTTGAACCTCATCACCATTTCCCTACAGAAACGAGCAGCAGCCAATTAAACCTGTGAAGAAGCAAAATCAAGAATGAATACACACATTTTCTCCATTTCTTGCATTGTAATTATGTACAGTATATATCATTATATTAAGCCAAATTTCCAATCCTCCCCAGTATTTGAAGTAGGTTTTACAAATACCTAGTAAACCTTGATTTAATGGACCTCTGAAATACAGGACAAATTCTTCAGGGTCATTTGATTCAGAAACAATGGATAGATTCTGTTGTTAAAGAATTGTTTGTTATTGCTACTATGACAGCAAAACAGTTTCATCTCTATAAACCACAGCTGCCATACCTGGTCACCCACTTTTCCCCCTTCCCCCAACAGTCCCTTAATTCAAGGTTTTACTATTCTTATTTGTACGTGTTTGCATCATACACAGATTATAAAATAGTGATGTGATTCTGTATTACATTAATGAAGTCAAATTTAAAACAGTTTGTTTGCATTATAGGGGAGTGCAGAGATACATCAGACACTTCTTAAAAGAATACTTGAGAATATTTAGGTTGTACAGGCAATCTCTTGTAAATTGTAGTAGTCCAGATATGTACATGTATCTTGGTTATTTTATCTGTGATGTACGTAATAATTTTTAATAACTAAACTTCACTTGATCAGAGTATATCACCATGCACAAATTATATGTGGTGTGGATATTTTGGACAAGTTTCCTAGGAATTAGGTTTATTGGCAAATAAAAGACCTTGCAATTAACAGATTTTGGAAATACGGAACAAAATCCACTGTGTCAACTGATGAAGTGAGTTAGTCAAAGAATTGACCATTTTTATTATAATTATGGTAAAATAATGATATTTCTATATACTACATGTGCCATTGCTGGTCACCCACTTTTCCCTATTAGTCAGTAAATCAATGATATGCTGCATTTGGTTGTGTCATAGTATGGGCATATTATTTTTTAACACACTGGGTGTGTCCCACCGAGGCAGGGTGACCCAAAAAGAAAGAAAATCCCCAAAAAGAAAATTCATCATCATTCAACACTTTCACCTCACTCACACATAATCACTGTTTTTCGAGAGGTGCTCAGAACACAACATATCCCTCCAAACTGCTAATATCCCGAAACCCCTCCTTTAGAGTACAGGCATTGTACTTCCCATTTCCAGGACTCAAGTCTGGCTATATAAAAATAACTGGTTTCCCTGAATCCCTTTACTAAATATTACCCTGCTCACACTCCAACAGATTGTCAGGTCCCAAATACCATTCGTCTCCATTCACTCCTATCGAACACGCTCATGCACACCTGCTGGAAGTCCAAGCCCCTCGCCCACAAAACCTCCCTTACCCCTTCTTTCCAACCTTATCGAGGACGACCCCTACCCCGCCTTTCTTCCCCTACAGATTTTAATGCTTTCCATGTCATTCTACTTTGATCCATTCTCTCTAAATGACCAAACCACCTCAACAACCCCTCGTCAGCCCTCTGACTAATACTTTTATTGATGCATTTTTTTTTTTCAACAAGTTGGCCATCTCCCACCGAGGCAGGGTGACCCAAAGATAAAGAAAATCCCCAAAAAGAAAAAAAACTTTCATCATTCAACACTTTCACCTCACTCACACATAATCACTGTTTTTGCAGAGGTGCCCAGAATACAACAGTTTAGAAGTATATACATATAAAAACACAACATATCTCTCCAAACTGCCAGTATCCCAAACCCCTCCTTTAGAGTGCAGGCATTGTACTTTCCATTTCCAGGACTCAAGTCTGGTTATATAAAATAACCGGTTTCCCTGAATCCCTTCACTAAATATTACCCTGCTCACACTCCAACAGATCGTCAGGTCCCAAATACCATTTGTCTCCATTCACTCCTATCTAACACGCTCACGGATGCTTGCTGGAAGTCCAAACCCTTTGCCCACAACACCTCCTTTACCCCATCTCTCCAACCTTTTCGAGGACGACCCCTACCCGCCTTCCTTCCCCTGCAGATTTATACGCTCTCCATGTCATTCTACATTGATCCATTATCTCTAAATGACCAAACCACCTCAACAAACCCTCTTCAGCCCTCTGACTAATACTTTTATTAACTCCACGCTTTCTCCTAATTTCCACACTCCGAATTTTCTGCATATTTACACCACACATTGCCCTTAGACAGGACATCTCCACTGCCTCCAACCGCCTCCTCGCTGCAGCATTTACAACCCAAGCTTCACACCCATATAAGAGTGTTGGTACTACTATACTTTCATACAATCCCTTCTTTGCCTCCATCGATAACATTTTTTGCCTCCACATATACCTCAATGCACCACTCACCTTTTTTCCTTCATCAATTCTATGATTAACCTCATCCTTCATAAATTCATCCGCTGACACGTCAACTCCCAAGTACAGTGGACCCCCGCTTTACGATCAGCTCGCAATGAGACCAATTATGTAAGTGTATTTATGTAAGTGCGTTTGTACATGTATGTTTGGGGGTCTGAAATGGACTAATCTAATTCACAATATTCCGTATGGGAACAAATTCGTTCAGCACTGGCACCTGAACATACTTCTGGAATGAAATATCGTAAACCGGGGGTCCACTGTATCTGAAAACATTCACTTCTTCCATATTACTCCTCCCCAATTTGATATCCAATTTTTCTTTAAATCATTTGATACTCTCATCACCTTACTCTTTTCTATGTTCACTTTCAACTTTCTACCTTTACACATTCCCAAATTCGTCCACTAACCTTTGCAATTTTTCTTTAGAATCTCCCATAAGCACAGTATCATCAGCAAAAAGTAACTGTCACTTCCCATTTTGTATTTAATTCCCCATAATTTAATCCCACCCCTCTCCCATTCCATGACAAAAAAAATTCAAGATAGAAATTGCCAAATGTATGTTGATAGTGCTTTTGTATTTGCCAGTTTTTTACAATTAGACTTTTATAAAGTTATTCTGTATACCAGTAGTGCAAGTGTTTCACAAATGCAATTGAAAAAGACCTCTGCATATTGTACAACAAACAAATATGAATGAAGAGAGATTAGAAATAGAAATTGGAATGTGATTAATGCGAAAATGAATTTAAGTTCAAATTGAATAAATTCTGTTTTGAAACAGAGTAAATCCATAGATTTAATGTACAGTACTAATAGAGGGGAAGCAAGTGGCCAGTAATGGCTACTATGGTGGATAAAGACAAAATTCTTTTGCCGTGATCATAACATTGACAGTTGTGTAACTAATGAAGTCTGTTGTTTCAGAATCAGTTGACCAAGCAAATTTTGTCTTGTTTCTGAAGTCCATTAAACTGAAGGTTTACTTTACAACACTGACATTAAATACAGTTATTTCTTCAATATCAATTACTTTTTAAGTTTAACATGATTAAGTTGCCTGAAAATATGATTATTAAATGTAATAATAAAATAAGTAACAAAGCTCAGTATAGTATATTAAAAGAATTATTATTATAATCATGGGGGAGAGCTAAACCTGTAGGATTATACAGGGTATTACAATTTTGGTTGTAATAATTGCTAGGGAGTACAAAAAATATTGACTTTTGAGTGGGAGTGTGTTGTTTGGAGCTTGACTGAGGGATTATTCTCATAGCAGATTTTTAAGTTATGATTGGTTTTAAGTAATTTGCTGTTGTAGATCACCATGCACTATACCACAAGTATGATTAAAGATTTCGTGATGCTGATAGGTACATCGGCCTTTTGACCTATCCTTCTGTCCATACTATCACTGCTTTCCTCTTAAGTTTTTGAGTTGGGAATATTTTAGAGCTAAAATGTGATACTTGTTTATGTATTAGAATTAGGTGATATTTGAGTGAACCGGGCTAAAATAAAGAATTATCAGTACTCTACTTGCAGCTTTTTTGACAAAAGATAACTGGACAGCTGAAACAAGAAACAGAAATAGTACTTGGTTGTTTGTAAGTGTTGAGATCCCTACTTGTATATTAAAGGTAAAATATATTGATAACTGTGTAAATAAGACAGTATGTGATTTATGGCATACGTATATCAGGAAGACATTCCATCCACACTAATTTATGATATACTGTACTAAGATTTATATATTGTATTCATGCTTGGTTTCTTATATTTGTATGGATTGGTAGTCTTTTCAGTAAATGCCATAAACAGCGTATGTCTTATTCAGATCCCCATTTGTTTCACTTATGACTGGCTCGTGCACCAGTTTCATCTAATTTATCTGGCAATTCAGTCAGGCTGATAAGTGTGATAAAACAATTTACCAAAATAATCTTAAGCTACTGAAAACAAATAATATTAGTTTACAAGCCTGTGCTGGTTCCCTAAATGTAAAAGGTTAGATATTTAATGTATTTATGATATTGCTTAGTTAACTTAACATAGCAAAAAAAATAAACATATTAGTAATAAATCTCGGCTTGCACTTATAGCATTTCACATACTTTAATATGTATATAGGCTTGGTATATGCATTAATATTAACTTGGATGTTCATATAGGAACAGTATATATATGCAGAAGTAAATACTTGAAAATATACAAATTATTCCTGATAATGTATTAACGAATGAAATGCTCAGATTTATTGTATGGTTAAATCTGCATTATATGATTTTGTGTGCTTACTGTATATAATATATTTATATATACGTAGTGTAATTCATGAATTTAGTGTATATAAAACAAAATATTTTGGAATAAACTTTGTTTACCTTTCCTTGTATACAAATCGTGAAGCTGATCAGAACTGTTATTCTTGAAATCACATGGAATCCAATATCTCAATTCATTATTGTTGCCAAACTGGCACTTACACAGTCTAATAAAATGTAAACCTTTCTCTTAGCAACATGCATCAGTGGCAAGAGCTTAAAGCCTATAAAAAGATATTCTTCAGTTCTTGCACAGAAACCTGAATTCTCCAATTTTTTTAATCATTATAAATTTTACAAATTTGAACCCACACAGCCTAAAACTATACAGGGCTCTTGATCTAGGGATGCAGCACTGTATGACCCTTGTGGGTATAGTGCTTAGTGCTGATTATAATAATAGCTGATCCTTGTATCAAACCTGAATGCTTCCCATTACCCCTACTATTTCAGTATACTAAATAAGTATACTGAAGCTTCCTTTAGGTTAAATGTTTTGTATTATTTGGGATGAAGCAATTCAAAAGGAGCATTCTAAAGTTATGGAGCACATGACTCATATGGGTTTAGTGCTTATTTTTTAATATAACAAAGTTATTGCAAATTAATATAATTTGGTCTATAAAACTCGCAAAAGGTGAAGGGTACTTGATCCAAGGAATTGGAGCCACCCTGATTATTCTTGGAATAAATGATTGCCCCTTGTTCCCCATTCTTGTGGAGATATCGGACATCTATGGATAAAATAAAATACCTACAGAAAATGTAAACTGTTATCTAAACAGTTCAAAATGCCATTCTCTTTTCTGAAAAACTGCCATCAAAGTGAGAAATGGCATAATAAAAATATTTTATTTCAGCATGTTACGATGTTTATACAGAGATGGGTGACATTTAGTTGTGCATGCTGAAAGCCCCTAGTTATGCAGAGTATTTCAGGCAAACTTAAGACTAAAATGGCAGCAGGCATGTGTGAGCATGTTAGAAGTGAATGGAGGCAAATGGTTTTTGGGTCCTGACAAGCTGTTGGAGTGTGAGCAGGGTAATGCTTTGTGAAGGGAAATTGGTTAGCCAGATTTGAGTCCTGGAGGTGAGAAGTACAATGTCTACACTTTAAAGGAAGGGTCTGGGCTATTGGCTGTTTGGAGAGAGATCTAAACTGTGGTATCTTGGTACCTCTGCAAAGACAGTGATTTTGTGTGAATGATGGTGAAAGTGTTTCCTTTTGGGTCACCCTGCCTTGATGGGAGACGGCTGATGTGTTGGTATGTGTGTGTGTAGTATGTATATATATATATATATATATATATATATATATATATATATATATATATAATATATATATATATATATATATATATATATATATATATATACAGTGGACCCCCGCATAACGATTACCTCCGAATGCGACCAATTATGTAAGTGTATTTATGTAAGTGCATTTGTACGTGTATGTTTGGGGGTCTGAAATGGACTAATCTACTTCACAATATTTCTTATGGGAACAAATTCGGTCAGTACTGGCACCTGAACATACTTCTGGAGTGAAAAAATATCGTTAACTGGGGGTCCACTGTATATATATATATATATAATATATATATATATATATATATATATATATATATATATATATATATATATATATTATATATATATATATATATTATTTTTTTTTTTTTATTATCACACTGGCCGATTCCCACCAGGCAGGGTGGCCCAAAAAAGAAACTTTCACCATCATTCACTCCATCACTGTCTTGCCGAAGGGTGCTTTACACTACAGTTTTTAAACTGCAACATTAACACCCCTCCTTCAGAGTGCAGGCACTGTACTTCCCATCTCCAGGACTCAAGTCCGGCCTGCCGGTTTCCCTGAACCCCTTCATAAATGTTACTTTGCTCACACTCCAACAGCACGTCAAGTATTAAAAACCATTTGTCTCCATTCACTCCTATCAAACACGCTCACGCATGCCTGAAGTCCAAGCCCCTCGCACACAAAACCTCCTTTACCCCCTCCCTCCAACCTTTCCTAGGCCGACCCCTACCCCGCCTTCCTTCCACTACAGACTGATACACTCTTGAAGTCATTCTGTTTCGCTCCATTCTCTCTACATGTCCGAACCACCTCAACAACCCTTCCTCAGCCCTCTGGACAACAGTTTTGGTAATCCCGCACCTCCTCCTAACTTCCAAACTACGAATTCTCTGCATTATATTCACACCACACATTGCCCTCAGACATGACATCTCCACTGCCTCCAGCCTTCTCCTTGCTGCAACATTCATCACCCACGCTTCACACCCATATAAGAGCGTTGGTAAAACTATACTCTCATACATTCCCCTCTTTGCCTCCAAGGACAAAGTTCTTTGTCTCCACAGACTCCTAAGTGCACCACTCACTCTTTTTCCCTCATCAATTCTATGATTCACCTCATCTTTCATAGACCCATCCGCTGACACATCCACTCCCAAATATCTGAATACGTTCACCTCCTCCATACTCTCTCCCTCCAATCTGATATCCAATCTTTCATCACCTAATCTTTTTGTTATCCTCATAACCTTACTCTTTCCTGTATTCACCTTTAATTTTCTTCTTTTGCACACCCTACCAAATTCATCCACCAATCTCTGCAACTTCTCTTCAGAATCTCCCAAGAGCACAGTGTCATCAGCAAAGAGCAGCTGTGACAACTCCCACTTTGTGTGTGATTCTTTATCTTTTAACTCCACGCCTCTTGCCAAGACCCTCGCATTTACTTCTCTTACAACCCCATCTATAAATATATTAAACAACCACGGTGACATCACACATCCTTGTCTAAGGCCTACTTTTACTGGGAAAAAATTTCCCTCCTTCCTACATACTCTAACTTGAGCCTCACTATCCTCGTAAAAACTCTTCACTGCTTTCAGTAACCTACCTCCTACACCATACACTTGCAACATCTGCCATATTGCACCTCTATCCACACCCTGTCATACGCCTTTTCCAAATCCATAAATGCCACAAAGACCTCTTTAGCCTTATCTAAATACTGTTCACTTATATGTTTCACTGTAAACACCTGGTCCACACACCCCCTACCTTTCCTAAAGCCTCCTTGTTCATCTGCTATCCTATTCTCCGTCTTACTCTTAATTCTTTCAATTATAACTCTACCATACACTTTACCAGGTATACTCAACAGACTTATCCCCCTATAATTTTTGCACTCTCTTTTATCCCCTTTGCCTTTATACAAAGGAACTATGCATGCTCTCTGCCAATCCCTAGGTACCTTACCCTCTTCCATACATTTATTAAATAATTGCACCAACCACTCCAAAACTATATCCCCACCTGCTTTTAACATTTCTATCTTTATCCCATCAATCCCGGCTGCCTTACCCCCTTTCATTTTACCTACTGCCTCACGAACTTCCCCCACACTCACAACTGGCTCTTCCTCACTCCTACAAGATGTTATTCCTCCTTGCCCTATATACGTAATCACAGCTTCCCTATCTTCATCAACCTATATATATACATACATATATACATACATATATACATACATATATTATTACATACATATATATATACATACATATATATTTTACATACATATATATATTACATAATATATATATACATACATATATATATATACATATATATATATACATACATATATATATATATACATACATATATACATACATATATATATACAATATATATATACATAATATATATATACATATATATATACATATATATATACATACATATATTATATACATACATACATATATACATACATACATATATACATACATATATACATACATATATATATACATACATACATAAAATACATACATAAATATATACATAATAAATATATATATACATACATATATACATACATATATACATAATATATATATAATATATATATAATATATTACTATATATACATAATTATATACTAATATAATATCTATATAAATATATATATATATATATATATATATAATATATATATATATATATATATATATATATATATATATATATAACATTACAGGTTCATAAATAATAAATTTTTGGAATTACAAGAACAAACAAACCATCAGTTACTGCCATCCATCTGAAAAGAAGTTCTTAAATATTACACAGCAACCTTGGAGGAAGGACAAAACAGAGATGCCTGACAACCAGTGCAGCTATCCCCCCAAAAAGGATATTGCACCCATGTAAAGATAAATCGTGCCTTAGCAACCCTTGTGCAGTCGACAAGCATTAAACTCCCTCTACCCTCACTCCACTGTGCCTGAGTCCCCTCTGCCTGGTTCTAACAAGCCCGTATTTTTCCTCAGTTAACAAATCAACTGGCTCTAACATCACAAAAAGTATTCCATTCCCCATATATTGCAAACCCCCAACCCGCTCTACCTCAACCCACACAGGAGACACCGTAGCTGTATTTCAAAAACCTCATCAGGAATAAGAACTGCAGCTTATTTCCCCTGAAAAGAAAAAAATACCACAATGTTGCAGATAAAATGGACACAAACACCTATGCATTCCACAACAATCCAATCTTATGTCTAAGCAACATATGCCAATATTGCAAGTTTGAAGCTATCAAAAGAGGCATTCTCACTTTTCACGTGGAAACAAATATCACTTATTAGTCTACAAATTTGACAAAGTGGTGACTGCATAACCCCCTCCTTCACATACAAAAATAAAAAACTTCATTAAGGTACACCTGCAGTAAAAAAATTGAAACCAAGTGGAAAAGGTGTTACCACTCAAAAACTTTAGATCTGTATAGGTCTGTACGAATAGTATCATGTACTTACAGAAATAAAGATTACTGTTGAGGATTTTCACAAGAAACTGTCGAATTAACCTTCCACACGCCCTCAGGGGAGAACTCGACACAAGCAAATTGTACCTTACTGATGTTGGTGTATCATGGATAAGTGTGGGACTTTGGGAACACTGGGGTTCACAACCCCCCCCCCCCTTTTCAATGTCCTCCAC